AGATCGCTGTAAAATATGTTGAGCTTACTGAAAAATGCCTCTTTAGCTGCACTTTACTCTGATGATACAGATAAATAGCTGCTCTATGTGTCAGGATTGTTTCCTACCTGTCAGCAGATCCGGCTGCAATCTTACTGCCATCAGTGGACCAGGAGCACCTCAGCAGGTTCTGAACAAACAACAAAACATTCAACAGGCAATACTAGCATCAAGCTATCTGAGTCACTCACAGAAGCAGAGTGGAAGCAAATAAAATCTCCTCATGGTCAATTTTCCTACTGTTGATTCGGGATTACCTTTTCAAAGTTGTGAACGTTACCCTGGAAAATCTTCACGCATCTTTCCTTTGGTGCAAACGGTCGGACATCCCAGATTCGCACTGCAGAGACACGCATAGATTAAAAAAAAACAGAATTCCTCCATCCATCAAATAGCACAGTGAGACACGTAAAAGCTTAGAGTACCCGTGTTATCCATGGAGTTTGACAGAAGGTACGATCCCTCAGAGCTCAGGCTGAGTCCCGTCACAGAGTCGCCATGGCCATGCATGTTGTAGATCAGCTTGTTCTGCCGCAGATCCCACACCTGCAGGACGAGTGAGACGAGATTGAGTTTTCACAGAGGACAGGTTAAAAGATATAAATAGAACATCAGAGCAACGGGTGAACAAGATGCTGCTTCTGAGGGAACAGAAAGCTTATGATCATTTTCTGAATCAAGTTGGCCGAACCCAGTATCCTGTTAAAGTGCAAAGAGATTTTTACAAAGCAACTTCAATTAATTACAAATGATTATGTCCTTAATGATTGCATAAATACTCACCCCCTTCAAGTTAATATCTATCCTGTTTTATCCTCCAACTTGTTTCTATTTAACCATAAAACCATTTAAGTTTCTCTTTAAAAGGTACTTTAAAGCTCACAGTTTGCTGCAACGTCCAGGGCAGCAGAAAGCAAAAAAAAAGAAGGAAATTAGCTAATGTCAAAGTATTCCCTTCCACACTAAAATAATTAAAAAAAAAGTTACAGTTGTAAAGCCATTCTCCATGACCTGCATCCTACAATATTAAGCACGTTTTGAGATCCCTGAGAAAGCATCTGAGTCACCAGAGATTCCTTTGGGGCTTCTACAAAACAGTAAATTAGGCTCTTCTTCATTTCTGGCTGAAATAAGGTCACCACATTTGCTCCATCCTAACATAACCAGTTCGAAATATTTCCAGTCACAAAAAACAAAACAAAAAAACATGTAAATAGTTGTTTGGTGTGTTCGAACTACCGAGGCTCGGACCATGAAGCGAGCCCAACCTAGCAGGATTACTTCCAGCCTATCCAGCTGTACCACAAAGCTGATTATCACCTCGCAAACTCAATCCAGCTTGAAATTATCATGAATCTGTGAACACGCACCTATAAAGGGGCGGGTTCATGGTAGCTGACCAATTACAACCAAGAGCGTAGAAGATAGAGCGCCGTATGTCCAGTGAGGAACAGAACTCATCTTACAGAACTACAAAGAGAAAAGTCTCAATGAAAAATCAAACATGGAAGTCAAACACAGTCTGCAATGGACTGGCGACCTGTCCAGGGTGTACCCCGCTTCTCGCCCATTGACAGCTGGAGATAGTCACTAGCACCCCTCGTGACCCTGCTTTGGATAAGTGTGATGGAAAATGGATGAAAAAGTCAAACATGGTGGCATGAAAGAGACTCCAAATAAAGTGGCAAAGGTTTGCTGTCTCCGTAAATGAGCAAGGCACACATCAGTGTAATTTAACAAAGCCTGCATCCCAATAAATGTCCTGCATATTACTCGCGTTCCCCTCTGGACTGAAGAGGACTACGGAGCAGATAAGATAAACATACAGTCGGTTCCAGGATCTGGCATATATGCCAGTCCGGCCAGTGAAAACCTGTATCGCTCATTTAGGTAATTGTCATAGTGATCCAAAGGATCCTCTCACAATGTACGCTTCGATTTTTTTATACATTTCTTTAATTATCTTCATATATCAATTATACAAGAAACAAGTGAATGTAAGTTGTGTAAAAAGGGCATTTTACAGGAGAAAACACACAAAGAATAGTAAAAGTTGGTATGTCAAAAAGGAGACTAAGGAAAAATAAACAAACTATTAAATTTGTCAAGAACATTTTTGTTTTAACTGCCATTAGAATTTTAACTTCCTTTATTGTGATGTTGATCTTTTTCCCTCTGAATTAAATCACGTCATCTTAGATTCTAAGATTCGGATCAATCCTCAAGGCTAGTATGTACAGAGTATGTTACCATAGTGACTAGCCTTGCTAAGAATGAATTCAGCATCATGGTACCAGAAAGACAGGGTTAAACACAAAGTCGTCTCACTAGCCCACTGATCCTGCTTTGCGGTACAGGCCTCTGGTCTGGTCCAGGGTATGAATAAAGTGAGATAAATCCCCCCTTCCTTTGGCCTGATTTGCTTCCACAAGGAGGTGTTCACATCGGGGCAAAAAGCGTCATGCAGCTAAAACGTATAACTTTGGGAGGCTGAATTGCACTGAATAAGGAAAAGAAGTGTCTGTCGTTACTTTGGCGTTTAAATGCAGTTCACTGTCTGCACCTCTTCACTACTCACGGCAGGTCCAGGAGACATTTTCAAACATTCATACCCTGAGTTGAGCTTAATTTGCTTTGGTTCTTCTCTTTCTTCTCAAATTCACTGTTCTAACATCACATCCTATCTTCCTGCTTAGGGTTTGACAACGTGTGGAAATAAGCAAAACACTACAGAGTTTGCTGTGGGCTCCTGGTAAAAACAAAAAAAACATAACAAAAAAAACAGCCTGATCTTCACCAAAAATTTGGCTTTGGCTCTGTTAAAGGTGTTCTAAAGAGTTGATGTGAAAACAGCCACCATGTGGCAGCTAATGGAGGGCTAACCACTGGTTTAAAACAACTGGTGAACTGAAAATAGTTTATTAGGAAGCAGACTAATGTTTAATAACAAAAGCAGTCACAGTCCCTGCATCTCTGACTGCATTACCTTGATATCGTTGTCAATCCCACCAGACAGAATCTGATCACTGGTGTCGTTAAAGGTCACAGCCAGCACCTGGTAAGTATTCTGAAAAGTGTGGATGGCCCCTTTCTTGCGGATGTCCCAAAGCTGCAGTGTGATAAGAAGAAGAAAAAAAAACAAAATAGAAAATTTATGACCAACTTTACAAAAGCAGATCAGGGATCTGGATGTATGCCATTTGATTAATTAATGAATGATATATAATATGAATTCATTAAAACTAATGACCCACCTTTACGGTCCCATCGTCACTGCCAGTGCACACAAGCTGGGGCCCCCGCCGAGCAGGGTAGCAGGTGTTCACAAAGGAAGTGTGGCCCTTCAGACGCTTGATCCTCTCACCTGTCTCACTGTCCCACACCCCCACAGTCTTGTCTGTGCTTGCCGAGAACAACAAGCTAAAAAACATAAAGATATATTAATGCTAGAATAGGAACTGATCAAGGTTCTATATCTAAAGATGAGGTCAGAACCAAACAAGAAGGGTTAACTAGTAAAAATCTAAGTGCTCACTGAGCAAACCAAAAAGTTTATATCTTGTAGGATGTGTGTGAGGTAGCAAAGAAATATATTTCTGATATTCAACATGGACTTTTCTTCCCCAGAAGGGATCATCTTCTGTCCATACCTGCCATCCGTGTTATAATGCAGCTCCATTACGGCTCCGCTGTGTCCCTTCAGAGTGGCAAAATTATCACAGTCTCCATAGACGTTCCACATCACTGCAGCAAAGCACCAAAGTAAACAATTATTTACTTGAACAGGGATCAGTAGTCATTTAACTTTGGCCATGACTTACATATGAGTCTGTCAAATCCTGAAGAGGCCAGCGTGGCTCCATTGGGGTGAAACTTGCAACAGTAGACCTCTCCCTCATGGCCTGACATCAGCATGATGGGAGCCTGCAGGCTGGAGGTCCGTGGAGGGCCCTGTGGGAGAACAAAGATCTACAGTTTCTGTATACCTTTAACATCAGATACTACCTGATATATGCATACATTAAGTTCCAATGATATAGCAGCTGCAAAATGGACATGACTGTACTGGTGCTATGTAATAAACTTGTTATAAAGTGCAGCATTAAACAGAGGAATACCTCTTATACCTATATCTTTGGAGGAGATTAAGTGGGATTACAATTTCAGAAAACTTACATTTCATTAAATCACGTTGTATAAAATAATCATTTTACCATTTTACACTTTAGGTAATAACATATTTTTGTCTATACTTGAAGGGCTGTGTTGATCATTTTGATCCTCACCAAAGGAGAACACAAAATAAAGTAACCTATGCCACTTCTTTCTCAAATCAACTTTTACCTCGCCACCAAGCTGCAAAAAGTGTATCTTTACCCAAATCCCACCTCTAAAATTAAACATTTCAAAATTGCCTTACACTTTCTCCACATAAAATAAACAAGGTTTCTGAAATATTAGCTAGAGACTGAATTAGGGTATAAATACTTGTATAGAGGAAAGTGTATTATGGTATTATCTACTACATGTAGAACCTAAATAAATTGTCCTATATATGTCTAGAAGTTATCTGAATTCTACTTATTTAGATCAAATAAGCAAATTTAGGTAAACAGGAGCTGGGTCCGTACCGTGGCCACGAGCTGTTGGGACTGAGCCGCCGCCACCAGCTCCATCCGGGGCCGCTTCATGGCGGAGGGAACCACCGCCATGTCGGCGGCTCTCTTCATCGGTTCAATCATCCCGAGTCAACCAAAGGGGGACAGAAAATCCTTAAAAGAAAGCTAAAGTACCTTCCCACAAATGAATGGGCTTTGTAAAACTAAGAAAATATCAACGGAAGCAGGAGGCGACGAAGAAGAAAGAGTGCGGAACTACTTCCGCTCTATAGAAGGCTTATGATTGGTCGATGTTTTAGGCGGCGACGGTGATTGGCCAGTTTGCCCGTAAGGATGGATTTGCACCGGAAGTGAAACAAAACCAGTTTAGTTGAAGCGAAAGGTAAAACTGACAACATTTTCTGTACGTATATTGTCCTAACGAGGTTAGTTTGTTATTTTATAACCAATTAACCCGCCTCAACAATAACTATCGGTTTAACAATTTGAAGATAAGGATGTTTTTGTTTGCTTTTTTTTTTTTTTTTTACCGCAATATGGCTCCTTGCCTTTAACTGTCTTAGAAATAGTAGTGTGTTCGGTTTGTGTTTTTTCTTTCTTATTTATTTATTTTTGTATGATAAATTCAAGCGTATAATGGTACAGCTTTTATGTTAGGTGTCCTTAGAATGACATGTCCCAATGTATTGTCTTGGGGGTTTTATGTGACAGCACATCATTAAGTAGCCCAACATGTGAAGCATGGTTTTTTGTTAGATCTTCAGCTGGTTCTATGTGTGGTTTTTCAATCCAGAGACTTGGATTTTTGTCCATTTCTATTTGCAAAATACAATAAGCCCACTTGTATTGAATTGATAGCAATTTTAACTTTGCCATCATGGTATAAGCATTTTTCTTTGAAACTTCCCCCAGTTTTATTGTAGGAAGTTTTAAGTTAAGAGGTCTGGTTGAATGCCAGTGTTTGACCAACCATCTAGTCTCGAACAAACCTCCTATTTAGTGGCATCTATCTTCCTGCAAACTATTCACATCGTCTGATCTCACTGTTAAAGAGAAGTATCTACACAGCATGATTATGCCACCACCGTGTTTAACATAGGATGATATGCTTAGGTTTAGTAGCTTTGGACTTTTTCTTTGGAGCCATCTATTCCATTGTGCACCAAGGGTGACAATGGTGAAAAAAATACAATGGTCCTCTTCCATCATTTTAAGTCACTGTTAAAACAGCTCTAAACATTTTAATTGTTGCTCAGAGTTAAGATCTGGATAATGAATTTAGAGATATTTAGACAGTGCTTGACAAATTGTAAGGTACCCAAAGTGCTTCACAGATGAATAAAGTTAGAGGATAATTTAGTGAGCAATATACAATCAATGTAATTAACATAGAAAGCAAAAGAATGGCCTAAATATCATGTTCTCTGGAGAAAAAAAGCAAGTGTATGAAAATGATTTTCTAAAGACATTATTGGTTAAATTACAAGCGGGTTATGATAATTTCTCAAGAGTTCTGACAGAAAGAGAAATAAAAAGTAACAAGCGTTTTTCTGGACCTCTTTCCTCTATCAACATGTTCAACCTCCCCCTTTTATTAACCTTAAAAACAAAAAATATGTTATTGTGAAAGTGGATTTTTATTCCCCTTGTTGCTCAAATTGACGGTTAGATTTTCCTCTCATTTAATGGTCTAATACTTTAATTCTTTTTAAACTTCTCTAGCTTGTTAAATTGATCTTCTACCTGAAACAGAGAAAAAAAATCCGATATTGTTACACGTGCCTTTTGTTACATGACATAGTTTCTTTCCTTGCATCTAATAATGCTGCAAACCCTAAGACATGTTTTTCTGTCCACCAGATCTTACATCAGAGAGCTGTTGTCTACCCCTGTTGAAACAATGTCTGACAGAGGCGGACGAGGTCATGAGCCGGTGGGATTGGACGGTCTACCTCCGCTGCACAGCATTGCCAAAGGAGAGGTAGTCTCTGTGCAAAGTTATGGAGCATTCATCCGACTGCCAGGGTACAGGAAACAAGGTTTGTAAAAAAAAAAAAAACCGGTTTGCAAAGATCCTCAAAAGTAGAAAACCAATATATGAAAAGCAGGCAGTAAAAGAAATGTTTACGATTTAGGGTTAGAGTTAGTGCAGAGGAAAGAATTAAAAGCGCAGGTAGAGATATAAATTGGAGTGCTCTTAGATGTTAGGGGAAGTATTATTGGAAAATCCTCTGTCTAAACAGTCAGTGTATGAATGCATTACGTCAACATGATCCATCTTCATTTTGTTAATGTGGTTATTTTCAGGAAGAATTAACTTAATATGTTAATTAAATCTGTGCTCTTTAACCAATAACATGTATCCTGTATGTTTGAAAAAGGATCATGTAGATGCATGATAGTTTCAATCTGGAGGTTTTCTGATGTTCATAGATCATTGGTTATATTGTTGATGAAATCTGATCATTAGCAACCGTGGAAAAAAAAACCACAAATACTTTTCACCGCTAGAGGGCACTCTCAGCAGAAGTTAGGTTTTATTAATGAGTCACACACAAAAAAAGATTGATCTACCAAAATATTTATTCATGGATTCAAAGCCCAAAAGTATTAGGTCTTTTAATTACTACGTAAAGCTGTTTATGTTTATCCTGTTAGTTAGTTTTGTTGGCTTTCTTTTGCATGCTGTGAAAACCTTTAACTCCAATACAAACAGGTTTGGTCCATGTGAGCGAGATGTCTGCCTCCAGAGTTGAAAACCCCTCTGAAATCGTTGATGTTGGGGAACAAGTGTGGATCAAAGTAATTGGGCGAGAGGTAAAGATAAAAAATAAAAAGCCCTAAACACATAAGTGTGGCATGTGCATCCAGTTACATCACAGAACAATCACTGTTGTCCTTTTGTCTGTTAGATTCAAGGTGACAAAGTGAAGCTGTCCTTCTCCATGAAGGCTGTAAATCAGGGGACAGGACAGGACTTGGACCCAAACAATGTTATGGCAGAGTAAGTGCAAACAGTTTGATGTGTGTTTCTGCTCAGGAAAGTTTTTTTTTTTTAATCAGGCGCTTGTGTCTGTAGTCAGGATGCGAGGCGACGAAGGCAGTTCAAAGATCATACCAACAACAGGATCACTCTGGAGGCTGTGCTCAACACAACGTGTTCAAAGTGTGGCTGCAAAGGTACTGTACTGTAAAATAAATGGTTAAATAATGAAAAAAAAATACTTTGAGACCATAACTGTAATAGTTAAAGATGATATGATTTGAAGTCAGTCTAAAATAACACAGGACTCTTTTTAGGTCACTTTACAAAGGATTGTTTCTCAGCTCCGGGCTTGCAGTACGCTCTTGTGCCAGAAGAGGACAATGAAGAGACACAACAGCAGCAGCAGTCAGCCAGCCAAAGACCACAGCAGGATTCAGACAGAAAGAAGAAAAAGAAGGTGAAAATGTTCAACCAAACAAAACTGGCTCTGCTTCCTCTTTTTTTTTCCTTTGCTGTTTCTCACCTCACTGTCTGGCCGCTCGTGTGAAAACTACACGTCAGTCACAATAGCATAATGAGAACTCCTGTTTTATGCTGATTTTACAAAAAAACTTGACCTAGTTTTAAGGTAATGAAACTGCTGTCAGCCTTCTGTACAAATCTGCAGCATCAAGTTTCCTTCTTCAGCCAGAGCTCTTTGACCTCTTTGAGCTTTTTCTTATTTTGTTAAGTTGAAAGCTCAGACTTTATTAGGTTTTATCTCTGGTTGTCATTAAATAATGTTAATTAAAGTTTCTCAGGGTGTGAATACTTTTGGAAAGAAATGTTTGTCCTCACAAATCTTCTGTTGTTCTTCTATATGTATCCTGCAGGAAAAGAAAATGAAGAAGAAGAAAAAGAGGGAGAGAAAGGAGTCAGAGAGTGGCAGCAGTGACAGCAGCAGCGAATGTAAACCGAAAAGGAGGCGTCATAGCAACAGTCTGGACAGACAGGATAAAAAAAAGAAGAAACACAAGAAACAGAAATCACATAAACACAGCTGAGGCAAGGATTTAAGAAAAGAGCCCACATTCAGTGAGACCACCACTATCTGCGCATTTTAAGTGTTGGTGGGGAAAAAAAGCGAACTATAGTAATTTCTGTAGCAATCAAGCTATTTTATTTTGGCGGTATGCCTTTTCCTGTGAAAGCAAAAAGGAAGATGCTTTAAAAAAAAAAAAAAACTGGTCATGTGATCATCCCTGTTTGTCCTGTAGTAACCTCTGACGCCCACATTGAGACCAGCATACGTATCTTGTGTAATCAAATATGTGTAAATGATATGGCAGCAGGAGCCAGTGGTCTTTTTGAAATTCAGATATTGTTTACTGCTATCCGGTTTCTAATGCTGGGGGAAAATCAATGAACGTGCAGAAGCTGACAGGAAACACAGGAAATGTCACAAACGTTACCGCACCAGGATCCTCGTGTTATGGGGACATCCGATTTCTGTTTATAGGGCATTGTACATGCATGTTTTTGTGTGAGTGTATCCTAAACTGCTGACTCCATTAAAGCAGTTTTTACCTGTAAAGGCCACAAAGCACCTCCTGACTCCTTTGTTCACAGACCTTGAAGTCATAATGGTGTTGTTTAAATGTGCCCTAGAGGCCAGAGCCCATCTCAACACAAGGTCATGTTTAGTTAATGTTTTCAAGCAAACTGGTCAGTCATAGTTGTTAAAACTCTGAGCTTTCTGTCTGATTTTCATCTTTTAAAGCCATAAATAGTTGATAATTATTGATTGATTTATGCACAATGTAAAGAAAGAAAATTATACTTAAATTTTTACAGTATTTTTCATAAATGCATCCAATTTTAATCTTTATATTTAGTCCTTCTTCCCCTAAAACCCTTAGTAATATTCAATGCAAGCAACTGGCCACTTAAACCCATATTTGATTTAAACAAACAAGACACCAATAACCTCGAAAACTCATATTCTATTCACAGTTGACCTGTTAAAGGTCTGCTAAAGGGCAAATATGCAACACATAGAAAACTAGCACTGGTTTACACATCAACCCAAACAAACAATCCTCATGGTTTCGATGGGTAGTGTCAGTATCATGCTGTGGGCTTGTTTTTCTGAGTATGGACAGAGTTAATAATAGAGCTAAAAAAAAGCTAATCCTGAAAAAGGAAACTTGCTTGAGAAAAGGCCTCAGACCAAAGGTTCAAGATGGACAGGAAGCATAAAGCCAACACTACAATAGAGTGATAGAGATTGAAGTGGATTCATGTGTTTATAGTCAGTATTTAGATTATAAAACTATAGAAAGAGTTGACAACTAATGTCCATGCTTCCTGCTGTTTTTCAAAAAGAAAAAAGGCGGAAAGCATGCAGAGTTACATCCTCTAAGCATTAGTAGCTGCAGCTGCTGTGAAAAGTCACTCCACAAAGAACCGACTCAGAATGAATACAGATGGTCTGCATATTTCAGATTATTTGCCATGAAAATAGAAAGTAGAAAATAGAAGAATACATAATTTCCATTTCCTTTCATAATTGAACACAACTTCATGTTTGTCCAGCATCTTAGTAAAAACGGCATGAAATATGTGGTTATGATGCAAAATGTTAAATAAGTACTTTATGTCTGATTTTCTGCAGTTGCAATCGGAATGTAAGAACTTTTTTTTTATTTAACCCAAACGCAGTTAATGCTTGTGAGACCAATGGATTATTTCTGGATGGAGTGGTTTGATACAGCTCCAGTGCACCCCAATGGCAATAAACGTATTATCAAGAATCCTTTTTGATTCCTTCTTCTGTTGTTTACTCCACATGGATCTAATAGGCAACGACAATCCAAAATGTTCACAACCAGAGCTAGGGTATGTGTATATAGCCTTAAACACAAGCTTTAACATTTATTCTTTCCTCTTTATCTTAAACTTTTTAGAGGAGATAACAGATTGCTGTTGGGACCCCATTATCAATTTAAATTGAACTATTTGTCAGTAATTTGTTTCATTTAAATTATAAGATGGAGAAAAAAAAGAAAGCCCAGATAATCTAAAATCGCAGTTATGAACCCACACTGTAAACATTTATAGGTTTAGCTTTGGTCAAGAAAAATTACAGAATTCAACAGTTTCCACTAATGGTGAGTCTTTTTATACTTTACATTTACTATTATATTATTTAGGAAGCAAATAAATACTGTTCAATTGTAGAATGCCCAATATAAAATAAGATTGCTTAATGGAACTTTTCATTTCTATTCATTTCAAATAATTTCTCATAGATGTTGGGATACATAAAACCAATAAGTAAGGACTTTTTAATAATAATGCTACTGTATGGCCTTTGCAACTAAGGTGAATACTAGTGACCTAACAACTGGTAATGGAAAGATGAGTGGAAGAAAAAAGTGGTAGAAAAAGGTCCACAAACAACAGGCAGTCTTTGGAGTATTTGGAAGCAGCGCTCATTTAGGTGTTTAGTGGGAATTTAGAGGGCTTGGAATCAGAGTTTCTATAGTTGACATACATAGAAGTATCCAAGGCACAGACTGCCCCTATAGCATTCCCTGTGTAAGGCCACTGCTGAACGAGAGAAAGCATCTGAGTTTTCTTCTCTGGGTTCACAAGATGAGGGAGTGGACTGTGTTTTCAACTCCTGCTTTGACGTTGAAGCAAGTTTGCATTTATTTGATCCCATGCAAATTAAAGCCCCAGAGTCTGGAGGACATTTGAGAAGGCACACCACTGTGTTTTATCAACATCTCCGAGACCTATTCACCAGGAAACTTTAGAGCAGTTTATTCTTTCCTTTACAGGCAAGCCAAGCTGACCCCTTCCCTCCCTGCTAATATCTGCTGAAAGATACTGGTGTGCGATTAGCCGACAAACTCACCTGACCTGAACCCATCAGAGAAACTATGCTGTATTGTCCAGTAGAGGATGAGAAACACTAGACCCAGAAATGAAAATTATCTAAAGTCTGCTTTAAAAGCAACTTCTAAACACAGGCTGAATAACACACAGAGATGATGCCATAATTTATCCAATACGAGACCCAAGTACTGAGCACAGTAGTATTCTTTACTTAGCACTACTTCAGTAGCATTACTTTTCTTTAGAAAAAAATCCCTTTTATGGGTAGTGCTGCGTTTTTTCTTATCTATGAGCCAAAATTATTTAAAAAAAAACTGCTTTTTTTTTTTTATCACCATGTGTAATTGTGCATATTTTAAAAAACAAAATCACGTTTGAACCCAAATTACTGAAATAAATCTACTTTCCAGGCATGTTGCCAAGTTACTGAGAACTACATGTCACAGATGGAACCTCAATAAGGATTAAATCATTAATCAACAGGTCAAGGCATGTTGCGTTTGCTGTTTTTCAGAAGCGCCAAAACAGGGAGCCTAAATGTCACATTTGACATGTCTGAACAGAGAGTCAGTTGGAAAAGCCTCACCTCCAAACCCTCCAGCTTGCCTAAAGTAGCAGCCGTTCAAATAATAAACCATTAAAAAAAACCTTACTGCGATGTTTTGTTAAAAACTTAATCTGTTTGGCCAAAGTCAGTCAAGCTGTACATGTATAATGTCAGCTATATCTATAAAAAAATGAAAACAGAAGCTTTTTGCCATGGCTTCCACTTCTTTCTCTGTGTCTTTTTCTTCTGTATGGGGAACTGGTGAATTACACAATGTGTTCCTCAGTTGTTTCATCATTTATCCCCCAAACTACGTCTCAACAAGTTGCAACATGGCTAAATGATGTTTCAGAAACAGACATTAAAACTGGTAGTTTAAGTCACAAAATGCTTTAATAATAATTGGTTCAGGGGCCCTGAAGTTTGTTAGTTTAATCAAATTAGACTCCACCAGTTAACTAAAGCAGACCAGTTCATACAAGCATAGAGCTTACTGGATAATTCCTAAAGTAAATGTCTCAATGGACATCTAAATCAATACATTTTTTTTTCTGCAAAGCTTTAACATGTTCCCAAACAAACCTTTGTCTTCTTTAAGAATTCCCATGTTTAATTATGTTTAATTGTCTCAAATAGCAACAAGGATTAAACCCAAGTGTCATACACTAAAAACCAAGGAAAAGACACAAATCAGGAAGAGGTTAAAAGGTGAACAAAGATGAAGCGCTACATAGATTTGAAACTGCAACGGCAAAAATTTCATCGAGTCTAAATTGTCTTTGAAGCTAGTGAAACCATCTGGTTAACCAATCTGAAGGAACACGGTATCATGAGTTAAGTATAGTAGCTCAGATAAAATTATCATTAAATACGTTTCAAACTGAGCTGAGAGTAAGTAGAGGAAGCCAAAAATAGTCAAATGTGTGCTTGTTTGTTGTACCGCTTGTAATCTGAAAATGGAAGATGAACTAATTTCATAAAACAGGCTTAAACCGGAAGGAAACATGACTTTCACTTAGTTTTTTTAAAAGAGGATTGGTGTCGGGAGTCATCAGGGCCATCACAGACTATAGGAACAGTGAACAGCATGACCCAGATCTACCCGTCACCTTAAAGAGCTTCTTTTCACACTTTGACCTTTCAAGCAACAAGAAGTCGGATGATCATCCACCATTGGCCTCTCGTCCTTCAGCTAGACGAGATGAGCTCCATATTAAGGAGCTATGTTTTCACCCTCATTCACACATGACAGCTCTTCCATCTACAACACAAATATAACAGATAAGATGCAGTCATCATTAGAGCACTCTTATTGTTGGTGTACATATCTATCTATCTATCTATCTATCTATCTATCTATCTATCTATCTATATATATATATATATATATATATATATATATAAAACAGCTGAAGTCTCTCGTTTAACAGGATTATTTCACAGGGTATTAAATAGTAATTGCACAGTTATTGCAGTCATAATGTCGCATTGTAACATTTGATGGCAGTAGGGATGAATGACCTGCGGTGGTGCTCCTTTTTACAAGCGGTGTATAATTCTTTCACTAAAGGAGCTGCTCAGCTCCTCTACACTCTGGTGCAGGGGGTGTGAGGTGTTGTCCATGATGGATGTGAGTTTGGACAACACTCTCCTCTCAGCCACTTCCTCCACCAAATCCAGAGTGCAGCCCAGGACAGAAGCGACCGTTCTCACCAGCTTGTTCTTGTCTCTTTTTGTCCCGCTCTGCGCTACCAGGGGCCAAGCAGACAATGGCGTAGAGGAGGGCTGAGGCCGCAAAAGAGTCATAGAAGGTTTTAAGCAGGGGCCTGCTCACTGCAGAGGAGCTCAGCCTCCTAAGTAGGTGGAGGCGGCTCTGGCTGTTCTTGTACAGGGCGTCATATTATGAGTCCAGTCCAGTATGACGTTGAACTTTGCCAAGGACACCACAGCAGTTGGTGTCACATATCAGACAATGATGAGATGCTTTACAGAGTGCAGATCTGACACAGTGGTGATCCAGGAACAACCTCACCCTCACACCAACAAGACCAAGTAGATTACAGGAGTGCCAGTAGGATATAACATTGTCCTCTCTGCCGATACAGGGAGGTAGTGGAGCACCAGAAAACAATGTTTCCTGGGAATTCACATCTCCTAAAAACGATTGAAAATTGGAAAGAATCCTATATTTCAATATGACAGTGTGGTACAGGAGCTGCATGGCACAGGAGGGGAAGGACTGAGCATGGGTGGTAAAGACAGCACAGAGAATTGCTTTATATCCCAACCATCTAGGCTCTGAGCTGTTTGTTCGTCAGAAAAACATTTCAGGAAGAACACACCCAGATTAAATACACTTAAAACCAGTTCTTTCCCAGAGCTGTGAAAGCAATACAACTCTAAAATATTCCATTACATGGCCGTTCATTGGCTGCTCGAGCACAAGCTTCACTTTAGGTAAATACATCTTGTAGAACAAATTTATACTTCTTTTCCTGGATGTTTTTTTGGCTGTTATAATTGAAAGACTTTTCCTCCCAAATGTTCTGCCTGTTTTTTAATGTTTTCTAATGATATGTTCTCTGAGCCCAACGTTGCATGCAAGTTTATTTCTCACAATATTTGCGAATTCACACAAACACAGGAGAGTCCATCTTGTCTCGCCGCCACTTCAACTGTTCAACACCGACTCAGAATGTGTCAGGCAATCATATTGCAGGTGTTATGGTTTAGAGCAGGACATAAAGCTGGGGAAAATCCATAGCTGCAACCAAACCAAAACCAAACACGAGGACGTACACGTAGCTGCTAACATGTTTTGTCAGAATCCATGATTTTATCTTTGAAAGAGGAACTGGAACAGCATAAAAGCATAAGTCATTGTGGTTTCTCATGATGTCTGCTGCTATTTCATTGGTCACCCTCAATTGCTAAAGCCAAACTTTAGTAGAACCTACTTTGATTGTCAGTATAGGTCCATTATGACAAGAGTCCTGCTTGATCTCAATTTATAAGGTTGTAAGTCCACATTGTTTCTTCTGAGTGCAAAAAAAAAATGCATTAAAATCAATCAAGCTAAGCCACATTGCTGCAATTATCAATTAAGAACCTCTTCTATGGAAAACTAAGTGGAACTAAATGACTCTTAATTTCAGGCCGTTTTTGTGGCCGAACTTGTTTAGGTTGGTTATATTATCTAATCTTATCTATATTATCTTCACAACCCCAAACCTGCCCACCGCATATTACCATCAAGTCTCCTCTCACCTGCCGGCGAGTGGTCCATGTGGGTCGACCTGGGGAGACAACTTCACTTTCCAAGGGAGATTGTGGAGACATCATTGCGGC